AAAGAACTTCTAAAAAGATTTGATATGGAAGCATCAAAGGTGATCAATACCCCTATTGCTACTGCTACTATGCTAGACATGGATGATTCTGGATCATCTATAAATCAAATAATGCATTAGGGAATCATTGGATCTCTCCTCTACCTCATTGCCAGCAGGCCAGACATTGTATTTAGTGTGGGATTATGTGCAAGGTTTCAATCAAATCCTAAGGAATCTCATCTAAAGGCTGCTAAGAGAAGTCTAAGATATCTTAAGGGCATACATGACTTGGTTCTATATTATCCTTCAGGTGACAATTTCAACCTTATTGGTTATACTGACGCTGATTATGCAGGCTATCTGGTGGACAGTAAAAGCACATCTAGAATGGCTCATTTCCTTGGATCATATCTAATCTCATGGGGTACAAGGAAACAAAACTTAGTGGCTCTCTCGACAACTGAAGCAGAATATGTTGCAACTGCCTCATGCTGTGCTCAATTACTGTGGATCAAGCAACAATTGGAAGACTTTAACATGTACATTGATTGTGTACCACTTCTATGTGACAACACCAGTGCTCTTAATATGGTAAAGAACCCGGTTCAACATAAGAGAACCAAGCACATTGATGTCACACACCATTTTCTCAAAGACAATGTAGAGAAGGGACTTATTTGTATGAGATTTTGCCGCACGAAAGATCAAATTGAAGATATCTTCACCAAGCTCTGAGCAGGGAACACTTTGAGAGAAATAGGATGGCACTGGGGTTAATTAAACCTAATTGAGAACTTGGTTATGCTCATATGGCTATGAAAGTCATACTCAGGTAAAATTAGCTAAAGTATTTTCTGACCAGGCCTAACTCACATCTATATCATTGCAAGTAAACACACATAATGATTATAGAAACTAAAGGTACAGTGTTGAGCTGCGAAAGAGAGTTGCAAAATCCTTTTACAAAAACAGGTCAGGAACCTTGTTCATATACCACAAGTCAGTAGTAATGTGTTTTTCTCAGGCTTTTTCAAAAGACAACAAAATTAATGCAACTGCCTCATTATCCGACTTTTTAGAGTCTGTATATCATGTCGTATCTCTCAAATCCTTTCACTTCCTCTGCACGTTATGTACTCCCACAAACCTACCGTCATTTCGAAAAATTTTAGAACGTGTTCCTCTCCCCTCTCATTATTAGCTCTTCCTTCCATAAAACCCTCATACTCCCAACAGTTCTGAACCATTCTCTCCCATTGCATCTCTGTAATTTCTTTCAGAACCCTCTAAATCCTCTCTCACAATGGCCAACGAATAATTTTCTCCCTCTCCTATCATCAACACCACTCCCATATCTCCACCTTCCTTAACATCACCACTAGAAATCCACTTCTCCACTATCCCTGATAATATTGTCCCCACACCAGTTTCCTCTTCATCTCTGGTCGCCCTTACTCCTCCGTCAAAACCTGCCTCACTTCCATCTCCTCCTTCTTCTGATCAAACGAAAGAACACCTGGAGAGTGCTACCTCTCAGGTGTTAGAGGTCTCTGAGAAAGATCCCGATCAGTACTTGAACTCCTCCTTTCTAGACTCAGTGGCTCCCATAGAGAGTCACTAGAAAAGGAAGTAGCGTAAAATATCATGGCTATCGCTGCTGAGAGTCTTATGAATGAAGGAGCCTCCCCTCTGCCTGAGTCTTAGGGGGAAGAAACTTCATTCTTAGGGGATTAAAGGACTATGGTGCTTTTTGAGTCTTCGGTTCATGACACAGTCACAGCAAAACCTGTTGGAGAACCTGATTCTTCTTCAGCCAAAACAAACCAGGAGCCCATCTTCTATACTAAGCCCTTGGAGTCCACTCCTCCTATTGTGGTGCCTTTTGATGAAGATGACATGGTTCTCAGTGCCCGTTTTAAGATACACAAACCAGCAGTTAATCCTGAGTCTTCCTCCAAGCAACCCACTACCAGGTTGCAGAAGAAAGAGGAATTTGAGTCTACCTTGCAGAAAAGTAAGTGGAGTATTAAGAAAAAGAAGAAGAGGTTGATGAAACAGGGGAAGTTGTGGCTGACAAAAACATTCCAGTGGTTGAGGTTGATGAAGATGTTGTGGAGGAACCTAGTTCCTTAGTGAAAAGATCTATAAAAGTCCAAAAGTTTGTGGTTGAAGCTTCAGAGGAAGCTGTGGAAAACCAAAGTAGAACATCTATGAAGAGTGGTGGTAAATCTAAGAAGGTTGTGGTTGAGAAAGATTTGCCTGAAGGTGTATTGTGGTTGTTGCAAGCAGGAAAGGGAAGTCTGTTGAAATATCTAAAAAATGAAAGCGGGAAACTGTGGGAGGACTTGGTTCAATGAAGACCATTCCAAGTGACAGTGGACTTGGGCAGGAGAGATTGAGAACCTAGAAAGTCTTGTGGGGTCGCATGTTTGACCCGGCAATCTCGGAGATGGCAGGCATGAGGCAAGGTCTAGAGATGGTGCAATTCCAGCAATGGGGTCACTTGTTTAAGGAGGATGTGCCTAAGGTATATGAAGATGAGGTGCAAAACCTTTATGAAACTCTCTTCACTATTGAAGGGGATCATATATGCGTGTTGGTAAATGGAGTTGACATTGTGCTTAACGCTTCAGCATTGGTAAAAGCTCTCCAAGTTCCATGTGAAGAGATGTCCTTAGTAAAGGGTGCTGGTAGAGCTAACTTTAGGAGAGCCATTGTGAAAGAGCAGGCTATCCAGTAGGGAGATTGGGTGCATAAAAGGCACTACTTCCGGTGTATCAACTTCTCTTTGAACTGGTCAATAAGGTTCTTTTACCTAGTATTTAGAGAAGGTCTATCGCTTCCAAGGCTGATCTGGTCTTAATGGAGGCTCTTGATGAGTTCACACCGATATATCTGCCCGGAATTATGATAGCACACATGAAAAAAGTGGCGAACTTTCAAGATGGAAATCATGGGCTTCCATACGGATTTCTCCTTACTCGGGTGTTCCAGTTTTACCAGGTATCTTTTGCCAATCCAAAAGTAGGCACCCGCAAAAAAACCTTCTCCAAAACAACTCTGGAAAAGTGTGAGTGTGTAGAAAATATTGGGGGAAGCACTTTGATAATTTCTCAGCTGATAAATGCTCAGAATGTTGCTACCGAAGAAATCAGAAGGTTGAGGGCTCAGAATGCCATACTGTAAACTCAACTCAGTCAAGCTGTTGGGGCATCTGGTTCTGTTAATTCTTCCTATGAAGAAGTTGCTCGCTTGACTAAGGAGAATGTTGAGCTTAGGCAACAGGTGGAGAACCTGCGGGAGAAACTGCTTGAGGAACAACTGTCCGCAAATTCCCCAATGCACCTGGTTCTCAAAACCATTGATGCCTCCTCATCCAAGCCTTCCTCTTCTAATGCCCCTAGGATCCTCTCAGTGACCAGCTGTCTTATATTCTGATGTTTTGTGGCTGTTGTTTTCTTTTTGTTTTTTTTATGGCATGTTGAATTTCACTGTTACTGCTCCCGTTTGAAACAGTCCAATTTATTATCAATGAAACAACTCTTCTTTTGCTAGTACAATGCTTGTTTTCCTTTTGCTTCTCTTTTTTATCATGTTGTGTGCACATATGTGGCATGAGTTAGCTGTGTTAGACTTCTTTATACCTTTTTTCCTGATTGTGCCTTTTCAATGATGTCAAAAGAGGGAGGATTTGGTTAACTTAAAATATTGAAGCAGGTGATTAAGGGGGAAGCATAGAGTCAGGGGGAACACATGAGATTTCTAGTACTTTATCTGGTTAAGTTAAGCTCTATAAATAGTCATCAATGTTAAAAGTTTGTCATCGTCAAAAAGGAGGAAATTGATGGGCTTAAGGTCTCTTAGTCTATATTTTAATGATCTAACAAACTTTCTGTATAGAACCAGATAAAGGACCTGATATATGCCTGGTACAATCATTCAACAATGGACTCAAGATAATCTGGGTAGTGTGCCTTTGGATTCACAAGAACCAGTTTAGGGACCTGATCCCTTGGTGTTTCCCTGACAGAAGTATAAGTCAACTCTACAGTTGGAAAGCAACTATAGAAAGTGACTGCCTGCAACTGTGCACGCTACAGTGCAGCACTCACTTTCCATTGGGAAGAGGCGTGTACCAATCAAGAATAGACATCATCATTGGGATGTCTTTTGAAGTATAATAACATTGTGTAAGGTATAAGATATTCACTTGAGCATTTAGTGATATTCTCTCAAGCATTGAAGATCTCATCCAGCATTGAAGTCACAAGTGTGTCAAGAACAAGAGACAACTCCACTACCTTGTAACTCTTATCTTGCTTTCTTAGAAGCTTTGTTTTAGGAAACTCAAAATCATAAACCATCTGAGTTTGTGTTGTGACTAGAGTTAGTCATAGGTTGAAGTCTTTGTAACTAGTGAGTGACAAAGTGGCTTGTGATAAGTGTATTACAAGTTAGAGTGATTGAAGTCTTTATAATAGAGTTATTACAAAATGGCTTGTAATAGTGTAGTTACAAGTTAGTAAAGTTGAAATCCTACCAGTGTAGGTCATGGTGTCCCTTTGAGTTGGAATTTTTCCACATAAAAATTTTGTGTCTTATTTACATACTGTTTCAGTAGTTAGCACTGAGGGAATTGATATAGGACCAGGTCTCTATACAGTTGGTGGACTCATATAAACTATCACATGTTAACAATTTTCATGTACCAACAAGCCTTGGAAGCATTAAAGTGCTTCAGCCCCATGTTTGAGTTTCTCTTTTCAGCAATGAAGCAGTAAGTTACAGGAGGAACAAAAACGTAGCTTGGAGAGAAACGCATAAATCCAATCATATATGTTCATATTTGTTTGGTTANTATATATATAAGTGAGAGCAGGGTGTACGAACACTGTACTAAATTATTGTACACATAGTAATCGAGATTGTACTATGGATTTGGACCTTTGTCATTGGTGATTGAATTTATTTATCTTTTGGTGGGGACAAGCGATTCTAATTTAGTTGCAATCATATATTTCTCTTCCTTGGGACCACACATGTCTACCTTTTGGGACATCTGGCCTACACTTCTCCTCTATTTCTGATTTTTGTTTCTGTTACTTTTCTCTCAGAAAAAGAGTTGCTATATGCTATTTTCGAAAAATTGGTCTGCACACACTTGTGGATTGTACCTCCAAGATTTAGGACGACTCCTATAAGCACTGGTTCAGTTTTCACGGTCTTGCGGTATTGCTATTGATAATTCTTTTGAATATAGTTTTTAGCTAATTTCTATCACATTTTAGTAATCGTACCTGATTTACATATGCATTGTCTCTTTGATGTATTTTGTCTTTATTACCAAAAATTAAAGGTATCAGAAGTAACTATAATTTTTATGTGGACCTTGCAGCCATGGTATTTGATGATATGTCTAAGTCACTTTATTGGGAGTATATCGATGTGTCCTCCTCCTATTTTGGCTGTACATAGTGAAATCTCTGGAAGCGACTGAGCAAGGGATCTTCCAGAAGAAGGCCAAATTTATCTTACTTTGATCATTTTGGGGCCATTATTCAAGACTTAAGGTCACCATTTGGTGTTACCGTCGTTCACACTAAAGCTGCAATGTATGATTTTCAGTTACATGTTATTGATATATTTTATTTTTTTGCTTTGTTACTATTTTTTTCATTGAAATTGCATAATAGTAAGAGTGCATGAATCATCAGGTGTGGCTTTTTCCACTACCGTTATTAGTCCCATTTTTATTCTTATAAATTTAAATAATTCATTTGAGAAAACTTGAGGAGCATATTGATACGGAAAATACTTTAAAAAGTACGAATGACACAAAACTCGCATCAGCCTTATTATTTTTCCTTTGGAATTGGAATTTTACAAGCTTGAACTTCTTTTAATTTCTTATACATTACTGTTACCAATATACTTTCTATGTGAAATATATTTCTCCCTATTTTTCATTTGAGGTGATGGTGTTTTTCTATGATTTTATTATTAATATGTTCTTCGTCTTGAAGTCAGTGATTCATTTGCGTTAAGCTTCTTCCAGATTGATTTTCCAGGCTACAAAGGCAAGAATTTGCCTCCTGTCACTTAAGCGTTAATGAAAAATATGGGACCATCAAATTTCTTTTACAAGTTTATTTAATTGGGAGATTCCTTCCATACCATCATATTTAACTTTTGGTTTGTATTTATGTACAGTGAAGGTGGTAATAGAATAAAGAGAAGCTTAGCTAACATAGCTGGTGACCATATGCGATATAGTTGTCCAAAGTCTCTTCGTCTTGTACATTCTGTAAATTGCCTTTTTACGTTTTCTATATGTTATTTCGAGCTTAACTTTTTCTCATACTCATATCTCAAGGATGTACTTGAGGTTTCTTAGAATAGTTCAATGAACTTTGTCTTTTGCTGTCTCATGAGTATAACAATGATTGCTTTTAACAAATCGTGGCAATATTTTGATGACTTTTTGGTGTTTATAGAGTATTTTTTTCTTTGCTGTACTTTGAAAAATATTAATGTTTGTAGAATGGACAAAGAAAAATTGTCATTTTTGAGCTTTCTTCAGTTGTAGTATCATATGGAGCAACTCTGCCATTTCATGTGTGAAAAAAAGGAGAAAACAGTAAATCACCTACTTCTTGACTCTGAGATGGCTAAGAGATCTAGAATATGGTGGCATCATTTGGAATGACACTACTCCTAAAGTGGGTTTCTCTATTTTAAAGGGAGTAATGTTATTATCCAATTACCTTCTCCTCTTTAATTTGACATTTGGAAGTTCTAATATCTGGAGCGTGCCTCAATTCTTATGAAATTTTAAACACCTTTATAGGTCATGGGAGACATTTCTAGAAAACTTATTTGATTTTAAATCATATGGCAGGAAAGTTGACGTTCAATGCTGACGGAGCATGAAAGCAACTCTATAGGTGGCTTTGGTGCACTGTCTGAAAAAAGCTTCTGATGTTTGTCAGAGAAAGAATTAAAAGAAACAGAAGTTAATAGCTTATAATCCCTTGGATATATAGTTTAACTTTGTAAGTCTTTTGATTTGCTGAATTCTTGGAATGAGTAGTGGAATTTTGAATAGTATTTAATAAGTACAGTTCACAAGAGAAAATTAGTGTTGTTCAACAATTATACTCTAAACTTCTCTTCTTATACAATAAATATGATATTGTATGAACATTCACGTCTGCATTCAAACTTGTGCTCTTACACTCCGAATTTCTCCATATTATTTGTTCCTGATATGTTATTCTCTCAAGTTTTTCTCAAAGTGTTCCTAAAACATTCAATATGCACAGGATGTTGGGCCCGTGCTCAGCACGGGCGTACAATTCTAGTTGACAAAATATACTTCAGTTCTGTAATGACTCAGCCGGTCATTTTAAGAATTAACACTCCGATCCCCTATTAACTGCTTTCCCCGTATTATTTTCTACTATTTTAGTTGCCGGGAGGATTCGTTTGGAGTTTCGAAGTTTTTTGGGACACTTAGTCCCTAAATGAGAGTTTAAGCTTTACAATATGGACCGTAGTCAGAGCAATGTGAAGACGGCCTTGGAATGGAATTCTGTTGGTTCCGTTAGCTCCGTTGGGTGATTTCGGGCTTAGGGGCATGTTCGGATTGTGTTTGGAGGTCTGTAGCTTATTTAGGCTTGAAATGCCGAAAGTTAATTTTTTGAAGAGTGAGATTTTGATATAGGGTCGGAATGAAATTTCAAAAAGTTGAGTAGGCCCGTGGTGTCATTTGGGACGTGTGTGCAAAATTTTAGGTTATTCGGACGAGGTTTGATAGACTTTTTGACCAAAAGCGGAATTTGGAAGTTTTGGAATTCTTAGGCTTGAATCCGAAGGGGAATTGGTGTTCTGAGGGTTGGTACAAGTTTGAATAGTGTTATGTGACTTATTCGTACTTTTGGTTGAGGTCCCGGGGGCCTCGGGATGATTTCGGATGATAATCGAGAAGTTGGTAGTTAGAATTTGCAGCTGAAGCTGCTGAGTTCCTATCATAACTGCACCTGCAGATTGGGAACCGCAGGTGCGAGATCGCAGAAGCGGAAGAGCAGCCGCAGATGCGGCCAGGAGCTAGAAGATCAGAAGTCGTAGGTACGGAAGGTTGTACACACTTGCGAGACCGCAAGTGCGGTAGGTAAGGCGCATGTGCGGTCCCAAGACTTTAAGTGTAAATCGCAGATGCGGTTGGCTAGACCGCAGAAGTAGTACTGCAGAAGCGGTAAAAGGGCCGCAGTTGCGGAATCCCTTGGCCAGAACCTATATAAGACTTCCTTTGCGATTTTCAGTTTTATTTCACCATTGTTAAGTCGGATTGGGAGCTTTTTGGGGGATTTTGAAGAGGGAATCCAAGAGAACTTTGTGGAGGTAAGATTTTTGGAACCAAAAATCGTTTCTATGGTGATATTCTAATGATTAGACAAGAAATTTATGGAAATTAGTGGTTAAAAATTGGGGGTTTGGGGTTTGAAATTGGAGACTTTGATTTAGGGATTTGAGGGGTCGTTTGTGGTCGGATTTGATGTATTTGGTATGTATGAACTCGTGAGAGTGTAAGGATTCTAGTTTTGTGAATTTTATCTGATTCCGAGATGTGGGCCCGGGGGACGTTTTGGGCAATTTTCTGAATTTTGCGTGTTAGCTTCGAATTAATTAGTTAAATTAGTTATTTAAAGTTATATATATATATATATATATATATATATATATATATATATATTATGCAATTACTTTGAATATATTTGGGCCATTTAGAGTAGGATACTTGTGGCAAGAATGTGATTTCGAGTTGAGTGAGCTGGTTCGAGGTAAGTGGCTTACCTAAACTTGTGTGAGGGAACTCCCCTTAGAATTTGGTGTTGTGTTATGTGAGTACCGTGTACGTGTGGTGATGAGTGCGTACACGTGTTAATTGTTGAAATCGCGTTTTCATTAAGTTAATACCTATATTTTCTTATAATTGAGCAATATTTGTACTTGAAGCCTCTTGCTTAGTTTAGGAAAAGCAGGCTTATGTGATTTAACTGTCTTACCTGCTTTAATTGCCTACTTGTACTCCGTGCAGCATGTTAGAGTAGAATTTCCTGCTTAAATTCTAGAATAGAACCGTAAATTCTTCTGAGACTGTTGTGTGATTTACTTTGGGACTACGGGACGATATCTCAAGAGATCCCCTGCATATTTACTTTGGGACTACGGATCGGTATTCTGATAGATCCCCCTGCACATTTATATTTGGGACTCTAGGACAGCACCCGATAGATCCCCTGTACTGGATATTTACTTTGGGACTACGAATTGATATTCGGGGAGTTTTCTCTGCATATTTATGGTTCGGACAGCGGGACGATATCCCGGGAGATCCTCTGGACATTTACGTTTGGGACTACGGGATGATATCCCGAGATATCCACTGTTGTTATTTCTATGTACTAAATTAGATTCTTTCTGTGATTTTATTCATTATAGACTGTTAGCATTTTTATTATGTTGTCTATTCTATACTGTTTTACCTTGTTTTTCATCTATAATCAGTATGGCCCTGACCTTCCTCGTCACTACTCGACCGAGGTTAGGCTTGGCACTTACTAAGTACTATTGTGGTGTACTCATGCCCTTCCCTGCACATGTTTTTCGTGTGAAGATCCAGGTTCGTCGGCTCAGCCATACTCACAGTGAGGCGAGGCGATCTTCAGAGACTTCGTGGTATATCTGCCGCGTCCGCAAACCGAGGAGTCCCTCTCTATTCTCACTTCTAGCTTTAGCTCTCCTGTATTTACTTTTGTTTAGATATTCTGGAGTTAGAACACTTTGTAGTTATTCCACAGCTTGTGATTTCATGAGATTCCGGGTTTTGGGAGTTGTTTCAGTTTGAGAGTTTATATTTGTACATGTCGAGCGGCATCTTAAACGTTTTATTATGTTTTATCCGTAGTTTTTGGCTAGTTTTATCTTTCATTTTCTTTTCCGCAAATTGTTAGGCTTACCTAGTCGTAGAGACTAGGTCCCGTCACGACAGTTCACGGAGGGCGAACATGGGTCGTGACAAGTTGGTATCAAAGCTCTAGGTTCAGAGGAGTCATGAATCATAAGTCGGTTTATTAGACTCTCGCGGATTGGTACGGAGACATCTGTACTTATCTACGAGAGGCTATGTAACTGTTAGGAAAATTCCACTTCATTTGATTTCCTTGTCGTGCGATATTTTGGTATCACAATTCTAAATTTCTGTCTTCTATTCTCTCACAGATAGTGTGGACACGTGCTACCGGAGATGACCAGGCACTCATGCCCCCTATTAGAGCTGTCAGAGGTCAGGGTCGGGGTAGAGGCCGAGGACGCGCCCGTGGTGCAGCCAGAGCACCCGCGTGAGCTACCACAAAGGAGCCACCAGCAGCTCTAGCCAAAGTCCAGGCACCTAATACGCCTACTACTACTACTATTCCAGCTCTCCAGGAGACTCTTGCACAGTTGGTGAGCATGTACACCACTCTAGCTCAGGCAGGGTTGATTCCCCTTGCTGTAGCCACATCCCTGGCGGGGGGAGGAGCACAGACTCCCGCCGCCTGCACTCTACGCAACGGGTCTAGGTTGATCAGATCCCAGAGGTTATACCGGTACCGCCTGTGGCCTCAGTTCAGCCCGAGGACAGGGCATCGGCTTCAGAGGATGAGCAGCAGAGGCTTAAGAGGTTCAAGAAGTATAAGCCTCCTGTATTAAGTGGTTTAGCATCATATGATGCCCTGGGATTTCTGCATTATGGGTATATCAGGATTGAGTGGGGTTTCTTTCACTGCCTTCCAGCTTCGAGGAGAAGCCTACCAGTGATGGCGTACTTTTGAGTTGAATAGTCTAGCTGAGGTAGCATCCCTTACTTGGACTCGGTTTTTGGATATGTTCTTGAGAGAGTTTGTCCCTCAAAGCGTCAGGGACGCATGACGCACAGAGTTTGAGCATTTGCGCCAGGGCATTATGACTATTTCAGAGTATGTTGTCCGCTTCACTGACTTGGCTAGGCATGCACCAGCCTTGGTTGCTACAGTTCGTGAGAGAGTTCGCCAGTTTATTGAGGGGCTCATTCCCTCCATTAGGTCTAGCATGGCTCGTGAGTTAGAGATGGATATTTCTTATCAGCAGGTGGTGAGCATTCCTAGGAGAGTGGAGGGCATACATGCTCGGTACAAAGAGGAGAGGGAGGCCAAGAGGTCTCGAGCGTCAGGCCATTATCCTGGTGCTCGTGCCCCAGCTGCATTTCGTCATGTTAGGGGTTATATGAGTCACCCCGTAAATTCAGCTCTTCCAGCAGCCAGTAGTATTCTAGCTCCTCCTAGACCTCAGGAGCCTTATTATGCACCTCTAGTATCTAGTGTGCCTCCTGCACGGGGTGCTTTCAGTGATCAGTCTAGCAGACCTGGCCCGAGCCAGTCACAGCCACCACGCCCTCCCAGAGCTTGTTTTGAGTGTAACGACACATGCCATATGGTGAGGGATTACCCCAGACTTAGAAGGGGTGCACCTCCACAGACTCCTCAGCCACAACATGCCCTACAGAGTTCTCAGGCTATTGTTCCAACACCAGTTGCTACCCCACCTGCTCAGCCAGCTAGAGGTGGAGGTCGGGGAGGTAGAGGTCGCCCTAGAGGGGGAGGCCAGGCCAGATATTATGCCCTTCCTGCCCGTACTGAGGTTGTCACCTCCGATTCTATCATCACAGGTACTGTCCTAGTTTGTCATAGAGATGCATCGGTTCTATTTGATTCAGGCTCCACTTATTCTTATGTGTCTTCTTATTTTATCCTGCATTTGGGCATATCTCAGGATTTTTTGAGTTCCCCTGTTTAGGTTTCTACTCCTGTGGGGGATTCTCTTATTGTAGACCGCGTTTATCGGTCGTGTTTGGTTGCTCTTAGTGGTTTTGAGGCCAGAGCCGATTTATTATTGCTCAACATGGTAGATTTCGATGTTATTTTGGGCATGGACTGGTTGTCTCCTCATTATGCTATTCTTGATTGTCACGCCAAAACCGTGACGCTGGCTATGCCAGGCGTACCGCGAGTAGAGTGTAGGGGTATTTTATATCACACTCCAGTAGAGTTAGTTCTTTCCTTAAAGCTCAGTGAATGGT